TACTCAAGGCGCAATGATTACAAATTAATGCAATCGCGTATACGCTCTATTTTGAACATAGATGCTCTATTTTGAGCGTAAACGCTCTTGCATGAATTAAGCCACCTAGAATACATAATAATGCCTAATACTACTAACATGACTATGATAGTACAATTATGGAAGGTAAGTGACAACTTAAAGAATTAGACAAATACGGAAGTGATGAGACACAGAGAAAATTAATCGTTACAATACATTATCCTACAGGAATAACAAACTATATAAGGTGCATTAAGTCTGAAGGTCTAGCCCGTGAGCTTTTTGGGCTTTTTTTAGAAAGTCGCCTCTCCAAATTGTTAGTTACATGATAAATTATCATGTGCTAATATATTATGACCTTTCAAAAAAGCCGAAAAAGCCTGCGGCCGACCAATTCCTAATTCTAGTTGATACAGAATATAAGAATAAACTTGAATGGAATAAGCCGCAGTAGTTAACGAATAATCACTTTTAACGGTCGTTATTTTATATTATATATCGTATGATTCTTTAGATCCATTATGAAATTTAATAATTATTGTATATGTAAATAACCTTGTTTAATTTATGGTGTACCGGTGTCACACCAGAAATTCATCTCTTAATAGAATTCTAGGGTCGGGGCGTTATAGTATGAAGACTATAACAATGGTGAAATGGAGGGTTAAATAGGCGTTGATACTAGGAACGGTAGTGGATGGTTTTACTGGGAAGTAAAATCTTAAAGCTGAGTGGTGTACATTTTTTCTCATGATCATCACCTGTTTTATGCAACATAAAATTTCTAATTTTAGAAGGAGGTTAAAAGCGGAGTGAAATTTAGTTAGGGTCAGGGTTATCCTCTTGATGCAGTTAGGAGGTTTATATATGGGGCTCAGTCAATTAAAACACGGCTTATGCCATTTTGACAAAATCACGTTTGAAATTTAGTTTAACAACAATGATGATCTATTATTAGAAGAACCTGTTTGATATACATGAATTAGCCAATCATACAAGCTCTTTTCTATGACTATGCAAGTTTCTTTGGCTTTACATCACATAATGCAACATTATGTCGTATGATGCATTATGCAATTCTGTATAATATACTATGGACCTCTCAAAACCTATATGCAGTGAATAGCTTTGTATTATTACTGAGGGTTGATAAGAACAAGTGTCTATAAAGCTATTGTTGTTGAAATGATACGGATCAAATTAAATAATAACTTCTATGTGCATTTTTAAATTTTAGGCAACTTGCATCGCATTATGCAGCATAATCTAGCATGTAACATCGCCTGCATAATGCATACGGCACATCTCTAGTTATCATAGTAAAAATCTTGAGTTATCTAAGAAAACAGAAAAATTGTAAATAACTCAAGATTTTACTATGCTAACCGTAGTTTGACTTCTAAGCAAAGGTTTTCAGCACGAAATTTTAGGTATATCGGTACACCTGAATATTGAATATAAAGTAAATTAAAATTTGCACTTAAGTTTTTTGATTTGGTGATCGACATAACCTTGTACACATTTACGGTATGCGAATGCAAGATGTAATAAATATTATATAAATATGCAAGGGTTTCTTACATTTTTTAATAAATTATCTTCAATAATACATAAAAATACATAATACCCATAAATTATAATCTAAAATTCTGTATACTCGTTATTGTAAATAAAAGAGTCGGATTTTTCAATCCGAATACATAACGATAAATACTGATTTTTATTTCTTTTTATTTAGTAGCCAAAACGACATAATGTTCTTGAAATGTATGATGCTTATCTACCTCTTCGAAATACATTTTTCTAAACATACGATCCCACTCGTCTTCGGTAAGATTCATAAGTGGTGCTAATATTGATTTAACAGCTTCCGCCATTTGAACTGTATTTGTCGTAAATATTTGACCAATTTTTCCGGCATTTTCATCCCATCTTTTTTTTTAAAGAAAGTGTTCATTTTAAATTTTTATATAAAAAAAAAAGAATTTCTTAAGAAATACATGACTTACTTTCCAAGTGATATATATTTACTAATGCTAGATACATTTTGAAATCCTAAAACTTCAAACATTGGTTCAAATTTCTGCTGGAGATCTATTTCGAAAGCATCTAACATTACTTCATCTAAATTTTCATTAGAATGATAAAAAGATTAAGTTTTGATTAATAAAAGTTTGAAAAAAGAAAGTTTAATACGTACTAACTTTACTCGTAAATTGATTCATAGTCGGGCCTATTGAATACGCTATTTCATAGTAAACGAAAGATGAGTAATTAGAGTAATTATGTAATTCGTTACTGCTAATTTTGACTGCAATCCAAATAGTATAACTGATGCCTTATAATTCTGGTCAAATTTGCAGATCATTTGACCAGATTCGGAATGAAAAAACTCTGAGCTTGGCCAAACTTGACCAGAGTTACAAGTATCAGTTCTACTATTTTTGTATTTAGTTGACTTGACACTTACGAACTGTATTAAGTTCTACACTTTCGATGGTGCCACCAGGTTTTATCACTCTTTTTATATCTTTTAACACTGGAAGCCATTGATATGTCTTTATTGATGTAAGCATATATCTCATAAAAACATAATCGAACTCATCATCACCGAACGGTAAACCTTCAAGTATGTCACATGTTCTAAAGTGGCAGTTGTTAGGTTTTATCTTGTTTGGAAAAGTTGATAATATGTCTATACCATAGACTTCTGCATAAGGAAATTCTTGTGCTATTTCAAAGCTAATTAATTCAAGATAATTTAAATAATACGTATGAAAAATTGATATACTGTATTGTATTGCATTGCATTGCATTTGAAAATAACTATATAATTACCACCAATGTCCGGGACCACATCCAATATCCTATAAATAAAAATTATACTTTAAGTTTGAATATAAAATCAATATTAGAATATATTTAAATAATAAAATTTTTAAATACTTGCCAAAATTTTGCTTCCGGGTCTAATAATATTTGAAAGCTTTGCATTGTAATTTCCATCTAAAGCATGTTTTAGAACGAAATGAAATGCTTGAAGTCTGTCAGCCTCTTCCCAATCTGCAGGAAACTTTTCCAAGAAAATTATAAAAATTTTTATAAATATTTATATATGAGCTTGAAAAAAATATTCATTAATTTTAAATTAATAATAAATAACTTACAATATAAGAGGAAAAATTCTCTTCAAAATAAGGTCGACCAGCTACAGTCTTCAATTGCGGCACTAATTGAATATGGACGGAATTACTATCGTCAGATGAAATTGTACTTTCTTCTCTGGATGAATTATTTCGAGACTTTTTTTTCCTTATAATTCTACGAGATATCTTATTTCCCATTTTATTAAACTATTCTGAATTATAATAAAAGAGGTAATGGTTTGTATGCAATGCTCTTTTAAATTTTCTGTTTTAACGAGCATATATACGTTGCAAATATATCAAAGGTATATGTCTATCAACCATGCAATGTATAGTAAGAAAACTTTTGAACAAAGAGAAAATGCATGCGTGAAGAGAGAACCCATTCTTTTTATTTGCTTTTATTATATAAACATTTGGTTTTTTTTTTTAAATAAATATAATTGGTAAATATCATCAAGTTGATTGTTTCACTACCGGAAGAGAGCCGGAATTACTCGAGTTAAGATAAATCCATAGTACATACGTACCAATAAATTAAATATGTAGTACAGTAAACACTAAAATTTAAATTACTTCACAAAAATCACAAAAAAATATTTACTGTGTATTCAAACAAGCAGAACCAATATTCGTATAGTTACTATTTATAATTTACTTCTTCAAATAGTTATATTTTTTTAATTGCCAAGAATTTCCTGGAAAAATTTGTTGTATTCATGATTCTTAAACGTAAAAGGTTACAATAATTAACATATTACATAATTAAACCCGGATATTTATTTGTTTAAACGAGAATTTATCATCATTTCGTACCAAAATGTGTGTAGTTGAAAAAAGTACATAAATTGTCTAATATATATGTATGTATTTTGAGTTTAGGTCAAATCCCGAAAATAAGAAACTTGACAGGGTCAAATTCCTAAAAAATTGGCCGACATTAAGCTAATTCTGGCTAACTTTGTCGAGATTTGACCAAATCCATATATTTACCTTACATGTAACCCACTAAAGCTCTCATGGTTATAATACGAAATAAGTTATAATAACACGTGTTGCTTAGGTCATAACGATAAGATTTGTAAATTTGATATTAGCAATTCGACAATTAAACTTTCATTAGCATATTCTGATATTCACAACACTATACGTACAGTACATTAATGGTGTTGAAGCCCATCACCTGAAATTATGCCATTCATTTCGTTAATGTTTCGTAAGTTTTGTCAGACATTATTAATATCCGTAATATATAGTTATTTGAAAAATAACTCCATTATCTGGCTGTAAGTCAGATAAATAAGTTATTAGTGCGTAACATCCAGTAACGGTGTTACGTATACAATACTAGGCAAAAATTGTCAAATGATAATATGATATTAAGTTTTCTTCACATCACTTTTTGTTTATATTATTAGATATGTCAAATTGCGTTTTATTATACCGTCATTAACCTTACTAAGAATATGGTTTTATTTATTTAGAATTCTTTGAATTCGGAAATCCCGAATCAACTTTAATTGATAAAATAGCTTACAAATAAATTATTATTTTATTTTTTTTTGTAAAAGTTCTTAAAACATCAATACAAATATATTATATTCGTTAATAAAAAAGCAATTTCTAATGATTAAAATAAAAAATTTTATTCGGTTAATCTATTATGGTCTTATTATTAAAATGGCCACAATATTTCATAACGATATTGATCTAAGACTAAAAGTCATATAATCATATGACCGAGCACACATAAAAAAAATAATATGGCGTAGGTAATTGGCAAACACAGGTACAAGTGGTTTCATATTCTACAAGTACGTACATGCATGAAATAACTTTATAAGGAATTGAAGAAGTAACGTTGCAATAAAAAATGTACCTGAACATCGAACATTCCATGTAAATTTTAACGTCCCTGGTTCTAAAATTTTACAAATTGAGCTTCTCTTACATATTTGTAATTTTCACAGATTTGTCATCTAACGACAAAATAACTCAGTGCATTTATGCATTAAAAGTGTGACAACTTTTCATTGACTTTGTGGAACCGGAGTGTATCATGGAACATCCGGCAAAAAGCTGGAATAAACTTTTTTAATATCAGTTAGATTAGTAACCCGCCGGCTTAGAATATAATAATAAATGCAATTCAGTGAAATTATAGTATACATTTTATGTATACCTTATAAAAAATATCTCTTGGAATTGTTTGGAAAATTCGGAAATTAATCGATTTTTTGTTCGGAAAATTGGACATTAAAGGATGTTTATTGAATGAATGCGTTTTTTATACGTTTTTTATACGATAATTTTCAATCAAAAATTTTCTATTTTTTACGATGTCGTTATGAAACAGTACAAACATAAACAAACCCTTTCGGAAAATCGGCTCCGTTCCGAACATTTTTGCTTTGGACAATGCCTACAATAACTGTGCAAACTTTTTTTATAGGGATAGAGATAAGAATAATATATGTATTTATCCGACGTCTTACTATGATCAGGCTACCAAAATAACTTTGGTTATTTTGGCAGTGTGATGTTATTTTGCCAAATAACTTCGTTATTTGGCAGAAATGATGTCAACACTGCCAAATAACCAAGTTATTTGTCAGTCCGATCATAGTAAAGATATCTTATTTTCACGGCTGATGCTGAAATTTTAATCTATTTTATTACGATTTTTGGGGCCTATTGTTAAGATTTACTTTAAATCTTAGTGTTGCTAGTAAAAGAATATATGTGGATATTATAGATTTAAATGGGTCCCTAAATTTCATCAGCTAATTTCAGCATCAGCCGCGACACTTATTCGTCTTTTTGTACAAATTATGTTAGATAATTGGACCACTTTTATTTGATTAGACTTAATAAATTCCGAAAGAAATTACCAAGGAGTTTTTTGTATTGTTCTATAATTTCCAATTCGCTTACTTCTTCATTTGATTCGTTGGAGTCCTCCAGGGCGGCCATCATTCTTGCTGTGACGCAATTATGGCGCAGCCGGCCAAAATTATATTAATGAAACCACAACTACCCATTAAGTAAAATATTTCCGGACCAATTTGCTGTGAAAGAGGCCAAATTTTTTATATTCCCGGACCAATTTGCTGTGAAAGAGGCTAAATTTTTCTTGTTGAATTCAAAAAAAGCTTAAATTTTTTCAAAGAATAATCTTCGGCCAAATTATAATTTTGAAGGTCATAGCTAAATTAAGTTAATGCAGGCCAACTGCTTCACTGCAAAATTGATGGCCGCCCTGGAGGACTCATTCCACAATTATTGTAAAGAACGGTTGAAATATTCATTATAGGAAGTTGTGTATTATCAAGTGATATGCGAATTTTCTCCCATAAGTTTTGACTTCTTCAATTAAGGGCTGTGACATTTATTACGTAATATTTTAGGGGTGGGGGTTGAGCATGTATTATATCAATATCTTACGTTACACAAAGAAATTATACGATTTCTAAATTGGCCAATTATATAGATCTTATGTGGGGGAGGGGTAGCTCTTATAGTAAATGGATATTACGTAATAAATGTCAGAGCCCTAATGGACAATATGAATTCCGTTGAACTTAAATTTAAAGTTATTAATATAAGTTATTATATAATATATATATACGTTTCTAAATGTAATACATAGATAATATAAAAATAAGTAGCTGCGCGACATTGTCGCGCTAAGACAACTCCAATACAGAATAGTTATATAAATTATAATTTTGAATTCAGATAAATAAATATCGGGTATACAACTAAATACAGTATAATATATTGATATGAGACACTATAATTTAAACACAAAAAAATTTCATAAGATTTTTAGATGTATATAGTATAGAGCATAAAATGCCTCTTTAAAAACATATTATAACAATCCACTACAATTTTCCAATGCTAACCTTAATTATACATAACGCCGGAACAGATATTAAAAATAGGTATTTTACACCTAGATCTGTTCATAATAATCTGCATAATTTAGAAATGATCTTGGCAGATGATAATTATATAGACTAACACAAGTCGAACCAATGAATATCGGGTGCATACCAAGGTACAAGTTTCCTGTTATGTACCAGATAGTCTGACATAGATCCGCCAAATACCTGCTGAATATCAGCAGCATATTGGTAACATATTTTTAAACATAACAGCACAATATTGGGATACCCAGATACCAGATACCTTACTCTTAGTACTCTGGGCCTAAAAGTAAGATATCCCAAATATTTTGTTGATATCGATCTACCTCATATGCTACCAAAATGTTGCTGATATTCATCAAGTATTTGGCGGATTTATGGCAGACTATCGGGTACATATCAGAAAAATTTGTCTTCCGGTATGCATCCGATATTTATTGATTCAACCTGTGTAATGTGGATAAGAAGCTAAATGAGATGTGAACAGTTCATATTAATTACTATTAATTGAATTGTAATTTTGCTGAAGTCTATGGCTAAAGAAGATGAGATCTAACTTTTTTTTTATCTCGAAAATGAACCTACTTACCGGTTAAACCAATTAAAAATTGAATTCCGACCTATAATTAAGAGAACCTTAAATCATATGAAAAATTGAAACAAGAAATTGATTAATACGACATTTATTAATGATGTTCAATTGATTAAATAAAAATTGTGACAGAATTTTGTAGACAAATTTCAACCCATTTAAAATTTTTAGAGCTGTTAATATTACTGTAGCAACGTAATAATATTTAATGCAAAGCTTATCGATATTATTTACCACAACTTGGCCATGGTCAAGTCATGCACTAGCCATAACACAAGTCGTGGCTTCAATAATTATGGGTTAATCTAGAGTTATGACTTTCAATTGCAGCTGATGCTTAATCATAGTTTAAGTTGCAGCTCATCTGCTTTGGTCATTTTTCGTCGGTTGTGTAGCTAAAACCGGCTTCACAATAAGCTGTTAACGGCTCTGGAGACTATTTGAAGACAGTTAACAGTAAATCTGTATTTGGTTAGTTCTATTCCGAAGGAAAATAATAAAAAAAAAGCATTGATCGTCATTCACTCTAATTGAGACAAAAACCTGTTAAAGCAATAAAAATACAAGTTGAACATTCGTTATGGTTAAAAATTTTTCGTAAATATAGTGCTATGTTATGCAATATCGTGAAGTTTAAGCGCAGAATTCCACATTTCATTGCATTTAATGCATTGCCCAATCATTTATGAGATTTTGCGAACGCACATAACTAAAAATGTCATAGTAAACCATATACTTCGTAATATTATATATCACTTTGTTCCTGGTATAAAACTTGTTAAACCTTTCTAGTATGATGCCGTCATATTTCATAAAGGATTGGCAAGATGCTTAAACGTTTTAAGTGGCATTAGTAGCTTCTGATTGTTGTGTTGTTCTTATTTCATAGTTAACATACTTGTTAGTATAACAATATGCTCACATACTTTCAAGAGGTTTCTACTGCTCTATCATATAAGTTCTAGCCTCAGTATATTCAGTTAATAAACAATCCCACCAAATATTAAATTGTTCTACTGAAGTTTCTATCACTATTGCTTTGAAATCTTTGCTAAATGCTATAAATTTGTCTTTGAGCTTGTTATATAAGTTTTTACTTATATTTTGCTCAACATGCCAAACACAAAGCTGATGTTTAACATGTGGCAATTCTGTTTGAATTGCAGAGATAAGTGCAAGATCAGTTACAAGAGTTCACATATTGTGAATAATCATATCTTTAGCTATTTGCTTTAATTGAGAAAGTATCCAGCAAAAATTTGGTGCAGTTTCATTTGCAAGAAGACAACTTGCAATAAGAAATGTCATACCCATTGCATTAACACCACTGATAAGAAGAAGTGGCATTTTAAAATATAATTAATACAATTTAATAAAAAAAAAAATTTAAAAAATTAATTTTTTAAAAAAAATAGAAAATTACCCAAATCAATTAGTTTTGTATGTAGAATCTATCAATGTAATTTCTGAATGATATTTAAAAGCAGAAATTACAGAATGTGTAGCAAAAAATAAACAATAAAGCTTTTCATTATTAACTAAATAGGTAACCAAATATTCATTGTTATTATCCAAATTTTTTAATAATTTTGCAGTTTGTGACAAACCCTTTATATAATTATGAGACTGATAATTAAAGAATTGTATACATCTTTACTGTGGATATATCTGCTATATTGTTTAGTTAGCATATTAACAATTGTTGATACTGGTATACCTCCATCATAGAGTGTTTGTATATGTATATTTTTATTATGACTTAATTTTCAATGACTAGGATCAAACATAACTGCAGCAGAGTCTAGAATATAATTATGCCCAAGATCAACACTTCTATATAATATTCTTTTTTGCTCAATAACTACAATATTAACTTGACAATGAGTAGCAATACTTTTTGTATTTCACAACCCAGTACTTGTGTTACTTGGAGTAACAGCATAGCAGCAAACAATATCTGCTCTGATAATAAAGCCTATACTTTATTCTGTTCATTGAAGTCTTGTAGCAAATCCTTTATTTATTGTATAAGTATTGACATACTATTGAATATTATTCTAATCAGTGAAAGTTTGTCCAACTTGTATTGTTATTTGATTATTACTAACTAAAAGTGATTGTCTTTTAGATAAAGTCACACTGTCATTAAAGTATCAAAAGAACTCTCATTATTACTAGTATTGATATTGATATTATCAACGTTATTAAGGTTGAATAATTGTTCAAAATCTATATTATCAAGGTTTGCTTCAACATTATTAAGGTTAGATGATTGTTCGAAATTGATATTGAGGTTTGCTTCAGTATTATTAAGGTTAGTATTTCAAATAATTGTTTATTAATATTTGCTTCAATATTATTAAGATCAGTATTTTTAAGTAATAGTTCAAAATTCATTTTTAATATGAAAAAAGCAATAAGTGTAAAGTAAAAAAAAACAATATGAAATGAACTAGTAATTTATATAGATTTGAGTCTTGCTGACATATTGTGATACAATATCTTATTATTAACTTTGAGTATCAATAACTTTGAGCTTTATTAAGCTATATCATTAACTTTGTATGCCATTAACTTTGCATATCATTAACTTTGCTTGTCATTCTATTTTGCAAGTACCAAAAGTTTCTATTTTAACAGGCTAATATGATTATGCTAATTTTTGACTAAATTGGGTTAATTTTGAATACCAAATTTAAATATAAGTTGAACTGAATTTGGGTTTGACTTAAACCAATTTTGGTTCACCTGAACCTAAATCAGGTTAATTTAGAGTACTAAATTTAAATACAAGTTAAACCAAATTCAGGTTCAACTTAAATCAATTTTGGTTCATCTGAACCTAAATTGGGTTTGAGTTGAACTTAACTTGGGTTCACTTGAACCTAATAGTGTAATTTTATTGGCTGCAATAAAAGTGTTAATCATGTGACTCAGTTTTATGGCTTTAGAGCCTATTTCAAGCCACACAGGTTACATGATTACATGACAGGTTAAAATAACCCAGGTCAAAATAGAATTTTCTTATTATATATATATAATAGTATATTTAAAACATATTCTATATACTTTATTATAAATATTTTTTAAATTTATTATTGAGTAATAAAATTTAAAGCTCTACTTAAAAATCTTTACTATAATATTTTCTTTAAATTTTTTAAATTTTTATGTTTTTGTTTTTAAAAAATTTTTTGCTTTTAATACAAGTTTTAGTTTTTATTAGTAAATTACTAAAAATATAATAATAAAAGTTGTTATTCTTTATATAGAGTGTTTTATATTAAAAGAGCCCATTTAACAATATAAACAATTTTGGGATAATTAAGTTTAAATATTTGTTTTAATTTTTAGACTGATGCAGAATTATAAAATTTACAATTTTGATTGGTTAAAAGTAACAGATAATTATTGAGATATTTTGTAATATTTTTGGACTAGGCAGCTTTATATAATTTTCTTTTATATTATCTTTATTTTTTATTATGCAAATAGCCTTTAATTTATAATTGAAAATGTCAGTGATGTTAAAATTTACATGAATCTAACAAGAACTCATTTTTTAAAAAATTGCAAAATAGGTCTTTTTAATATAAAACACTCCATGTAAGCTATAATATTGTGTTAAAAACTATAGATTTAAAAATTGATATTTAAAAAGTTTAGTTTTATAATTTATTGTATCTGCAATGTATTGCATCTCTAGCTATATCTCAAAATTTTACTAGAGTAATTCCTGTCATATGACTAACAAAAAATAATCATTATACAATTGTACCTAACGCTAACCTAAACCCTAATTCTAACTCTAACTCTAACCCTAACTAATCATAACTTTATTTAAATTTTGCTATATCTCAAAATTTTACTAGGATAACCCTGTCATGTAACTAAGTAAAAATACTTCTCTCGCAATTTTACCTAACCTAAACCCTAACTCTAATCCTAACACTAACCCTAACACTAACCCTAAAACTAATCATAAGTTTTTTAGGGAGTGCAATATATTGCACCGTGCAATAAATTATTAAATCCTAAAAAGTTTATTAAGAATTTGTAAATAATTTTTTGGTTAAAATTTTTTTAAACTTATCTATTTTTAGCTTATAAACAATTTAAACATTTTTTTTATAATATAAAATTAAATGCTACTATAATAGAATCTTTATTTTTAAATATTATCAAAAAAAATTTATTTGAATATTTTAAATTTTTAAAAAAGTAGAATATAAGCAATTTTTAAACAAATTTATTTGGAATTGCTTTATATTTTAAAAGATAATTCAAGTAAAAAGAAATATAAAATAAATCTTTTAGCTATTAATTAATTTTATTTAACTATATTAAGAACATATTTTTTTTTAAACTATAGAACTAAATTTTTTGTTTCTTTAAATATTTTTGGTTTTAATATATTAAATATATTTGAAATTTTTAAGAAAATAGAAAAGCTAAAGCAAGTAGATATTATATTTTAAAACTAAGTTTTGCATTAATTTTATATAAATTTGTATTGTATTTATAAAAATTAGTATTAGTTAGATTATTAAAATTTTCTTAATTAGAAAATAAAATATAAATATTTGTAAATTAGGCTATACAAAGTTAATTTTTTGGTTCTTATAACATGGGACAAAAAAAAATGACCTGCTTGCCCAGACTTTTATTTAAAAATTTTATATATAAAAAATTTTAAATTTTATAAAATTTTTTAAAAATTTTTTTTTGAAATCCCACCCACCTATTAAAACATAAAAACTTTTTTCAAAAAAATTTCAAAATATCACCTGGCCAGGTTATGAGAACCAAAAAATTAAGATTATATGGTCTTAATATAATATTAAACTTTTTTAAAAAAATTTTATGGATAATATTTTATATATTAATAATCTATAATATTGTATTCTTTTCTATTTATTTTGTTTTAAAAGAAAAATATATATTTTATTAGTAATATTAAAAAAGTATATTATAATATATTAATTATTACTAACTCAAAATTAGTAATAATTTTTGGAGAATTTAAATCAATTTTATTTTTATTAGCAAAGTTAATTAAACTTTTAAATAATTAACTATATTGTTTCTAAGATTTATATAATAAATAAAAGAAATTTTAAAATTATATTTAAAGTAATTTAAAGAGATTATGATATACTAAATTCTGTAACATTTTATAATTGTAATAATAACTTTGTTTTTTTAACATAATAGATTTTTTTATATAAGTATTTACTAAAGAAAGTAAGATCTAATTTCTTTAAATATACTAATAATGCATTTTGAATTATTTTTGCAGGCTTGTTTTTTTTGTCTAGGCTTGCTACTTTAACTTGATAAACAACTTTTGCAATTTTAGTATTTAGTACTTTGAGTGTATATTTGCAATTATAAATAAAACATATAATGTAGTGCTTATTGTAAATTAAATACAACACCAGTAGCATTTGTATTAAAATTGTATTTTTTTCTTATTAATATCTATAAAAATTAAGTTTTATAACCCTTTTTATAAAAGTACAGTTTTACAGATTTTATAAAAAAAATTTAATTGGAAAAGGATTTTTATAATTAAATTTTTTATGTTTAAAGATTAATATTATACTAAGAAATTGTTTTATAATTCAAAAAATATTTTATAAGTAATTTTTTTGATTAATGATGATATTATTATATAAAAGGCTATTAAATTAAAAACAATTTTAATTTTTTTGTTGTTAGAATACTAATAATCAAATTAATATATTTAAAATTTACAATTGAGTCATAATATTATATTATATATTTTATACTTTGCTTATTTTATTCATTTTAACCTAGCAAATAGGAATAAAGATAATTATTAACTGATATATAGTAAGGTATAATATTAATTTTATATTTCTAAAATCTGCTAAAAGTTTGTAATTCTAATAAATATAATTATTTTGATTATACTAAAAAGATAACAGGCTGATCAATAATAAAAAAAATTGTTAAGTAGTATTTAATTCAAATAGAATATATAATCTTAAGTTTAGTTATTAGCATGGTAGGAATAAAAAACAAAAGCTTGGTTGACTTTTAAAATTTATTAAAAGTATTTTGATATGTTCATATTTTTTTATTTTTTTTTATTTTTACTTTACATTTTTGTTTTAGATTATATCAATATTTTCTATTTTTACTATAATATAATAATTATACGATCAAAATATACAAATATATAAATTTTTTTTTGTTTGTTTATTTAACTTTTTTTTTCTTGTTACTATATTATATTAACTTTTTTTTATATTTTGTAGAGTTTTTTTTTTTAAGTACTTTGATATTGTTCTTTGATGTCATCATGCCCCTTTATTGGTATTAACATTTTATCTTTGGAGATCACTAGTGCTGACACTTGTAATATTGGGTGTTTGCTTTGCAACTAAATTTTTCCAGTAAATCTCAATAGAACCAATAATTCCAATATTATCACAATAGCATGTAGGTTTTGTACCTAAATTTTCTGGTAAATAGGATGTAAACTAACTCAACATACCATGTGTCATTATAATAATCTGTAAATTTTGTAATAGAATTTTTTATAGCAACTCATGATAGAAAACTATAACAATACTATGTATCATTGCAATAGTTTGTAAGTTCTGTCATCAGGAAATTTTGAATATAGATAAGTAGTGATTCCTATTAAATATTTGATAACTATCAATAATTCTTATTGATAGTTATCGGTATGGGTGATTATTAATGATAATTACCATTATCGATTTAAATCATTAATTGTTAAATTTCAATATTTAGCTCTTATTGATTGTTCTTGATAAATTTTCTATTGATAGTAATCGATTAGGTAATCGATTTAAATTGATTAGATAATACCTAATCGATTACTATCAATAGAAAAATTTATTAAAAACAATTTTAAAGTTGGCTATTGAAATCTAACAGTAATTGATTTAAATCGATTACCTAATCGATTACTATCAATAAATAATTTATTAAGAACAATCGATAAGAGTTGACTATCGAAATTTAACAATTAGATTTAAAATGATAATAGTAATTATCATTAATAATCACCTATACCAGTAACTATCGATAAGAATTATCAATAGTTATCAAATATTTGATAGTAATCGCTACTTATCTATATTTAAAATTTCCTGATGTGTGACAGAATTTTTTATGATTTAACAAAATATCATGTGTCATTACAATGGTCTGTTACAACAAAAATTATGATAATTCTAATATAAACTGACCACATACAGTGTCATGAATAGTAAGCAGGTAAAAAACTAAATTTTTTCAGTAAGCTAACTCACAATTCAATATCTGTTATTACAATAGTCTGTAGGTTTTGTAGTAGAATTTTACATCAACCTATGATGGAACCAAATACAAACAGATTCAACACATACCATGTTTCACCGCAATAGCTGTGACAAAATTTTTTACAGTAATCACAATGGAAGTCATGTTAATTCCAATACAGTGTGCCATGCAATGGTGGTAGATCTGTATCTGAATTTTTTCCAGTAAATAACAATTGAAATCATGGTAATTCTGATAAAAACTAACAACAATAGAATGTATTTTATCACGATGACCTGTAAGTTTTGTAGTGGAGTTTTTCCCTTCTTCCAATAACTCATGGTGGAACCATGCTAAATCTAATACAAGCTGACTAAACAATGCAATTTTTGAATGTGTGCCAAGTTGGTGGTGCATTAATCAGGTTAAATAATTTGCACCAATTAAAAAATTCTAATGATAACAATAATAAATTTATAAATTTAATAAAATGAAAACAAAAACATTATTTTTTAACTCGAATCATGTTCTTGTTATTTTCAAAAAAGCACGTTTCCCTTCATTTTTTTAATAATCTTTAGCTACTAATACTATTGTTTTGAATTCAAAATAATATTTGTATTCTTTGGATTTTAATAATTTTGAGCTTGTTGGAATCTTCTCTTTGAGGGGATCATTTTGGTAGTTAAATCATCTAATTACTTTAAATTATAATTTTCAAAAATTTTTACAGACCAAAACGTCAAAGTCTTTAATATAATACTTGTATAAAATAATTTTGGCTTTAAAAGTATGATAATAAATCTCAAATAAATACGTACTATATAGTTTACAAAAAGAAAAAAATTTCTTTAAATGGAAAAAAAACATTTCTCATAATCTACTCTGAATCGTATCTTAAAAAAGAATAATACCAGTGTTTCTTAATGTTAAAGACGTTTCACTTTTATAATTAAAATTTTATAATCTTTATTATCTTTATATACTTACGAAATTACTGTACTTTACTTACACATTAAGTACAGTAAACTCTTTTTATAATAGTAACTTTATATAATGAACAAACTAAAAATTTTAAAAATTAAATTATTTCTGTCATGTCTTCAATTCACAAAAAAAAAAATAAAAATCATTAAAGTACAGGACGGTTGATAAAGCACATGTGGAAGTTTTCGTTAAAAGAAATTTTACGAATGCATTATATATACTGAAATAAAAGAGATCATTGTGGCTAGCTAATGTGCCATCAACCTAGAACACATTCAAGAGTTGCCTAAACAGTGTCATCAATGGTCCGTAAGTTCTGTGATGGAGTTTTTTAGATAACTCCGATAGAAACCATGATAGTTCCTATACAACCGACTCAACAAAACAATATATCGTGTGACATCATTGTGGTTTGTCATGAAGATTAATAAAATTATACAAACTATAAATGATAAGTATAGTCAAAAAAAAAAATAATTGATTTTTTTATGCCAAAAATGACTTGTCATATGACTAGATGTCATTTATTTTTTTAATGACAATATGCCATCACTGTTTAATTGTACATAATAGGTATTGGGCGTACGATGAAAAAGAACGGAATTTTTTTCATCGGAATTAATGTCATTCCCATGTGCTGCGTAGCAGCACATGAGTGACATTAACTCCGATGAGAAAATTTCTTGTTATTTTCGTATGTCCAATATTGATGTTATTGTTCATATTATATTAGCATGTGAAATTTTTTGTCTTGACATTTTGCATAAATGATGATGTCATTTTATGACAATAATGCACGTCCGTAATCTGTGACAGGTTAAGCCACTGATTTCAATCACCGTCCGACTATGCCTTAAATCATGATAAAAAAGCTATTGTATTTATTTGAAAAGGCGGTTAAATTTGAATATATAAAAACGATTTGATTATATTTGGCTATACTTTATTTTTTGCGATTTATAAATTAAAATTTTTTTTTTATCTAACATAAGTAAAGTACAGTATATAAATTAAAATTTAAAGACCTATAATATGACTTAAAAGAAAATATATTTTTTAAAAAAAAGAAGAAAATGGATGAGAACGATATTTACGGCATCACTTCATTTTTTAGTTATTAATTCAAACTGTCAAAAGATTAGCCAACATTACGAACCGTATTAGATAAATTTAAAGATCAGTATAATGTTACAAAATTAAAATCCAAATATTTTTCTTTATGAAAAAAATATGAGTTCACAAATAAATAATGAGAATTTAGCTCTTTGAGTTATCATCATTCGAGTTAAGTAAAAAAAGTATCATTTAAGTAAGAATGAGTTGAACAATTAGCATGGTCAAAGAAATGACATATACAATATACTAGAGGAATATTTAAATGGTATTCGTTATTTTAATTTTAAAATTAAAAGTTTTTATTTTTTTATATAATATTTGGTCGGTTAATATCAAAAGGCAACTTTTGAATTTATACGTAAGTTTTTAAATTATATCTACAGGTATTTTTTTAATAGTCAAGTCTTATGCTGAAATACGTATAGCCAGGCTGTGATTAAAATTAGTGGCTTAACCTGTCACAGATTACGGACATGCTGCTTAAATAATCTTAGACGTAACTATATTTTAACCTCTCATAAAGTTCATGCACACTCATGCTTTCATTGCTTCACGTCACTAATCTATTTACTAGTAGTACGTGCCTGTCTTTAGAAAATAAATAAAATAGGTTAGTGTTGTAAACCTTTTAAAAAGATTTATATTTACCAAATTTAATACATTGTAGAATATCATTAGTTAAATTGAGACACCTAAACATACCTTTTATCTAACTTCCAAATCACCTCGTGGATTACTGAATTACTTTGGCAGCTTGTAGAATAGGCCATAAACTATCTAATTTTATTTGTCTTATCTCTGCCAAATTCGTTTTATTGGAACCAAATTCATTTCTGTACCGCATATCGTTACTTTAATAAGACTTTATATACAAGTGATCTGTGAAAATCAGTTAATCATAATAAAGCTCGCTATGCTCGTACGCACGTATTTTGGGGTAGTTTGATTATCAATTTAAATTTAGCTCCGGACATTTAACAGACTGTTTTCCTAATAAATTATTCCTTTAAATTATGGCATCAACAGAAAAAATTAATAGAACTCGTAAAATGCTTCAACAATATCTTGAGGGTGATGCAACCTTCGAGAATTTTATTGCGAAAGATGTTTAGTATTTTTTGAATAATATTATTAATAACAACAAAAGTGAATGAATAAATAATTAATAAATACATGCATATTTTTTTAAAAAAAAATTTTATAGATGATATTAACGGATTCAGCTGATGGTAAAGTTAGTATTGAAATTCCTATTCAAGAATATCATCTGGTAAATGAAGCTTTTATTCGAAAACCTTAAAATTCAAATAAATGGAATCAATTCGATTAAAAATATTTAATATAAATATAATAGAATGCCTCCAAGTCAATTCATGGAGGAATGATTGCATCATTGGTCGATTTTTGTGGTGCGCTAGTTACTGCATCTAAAGGAGTGCGTCTTACAACTCTTAGTACGGATATAAATGTTTCATATGTCACATCAGCGAGATACGGTGATACTATACTCGTGGTAATAATTTTTTTTCTTCTTGAAAAAATTTTTCGCGTAGTTGGTTAATAATTTTTTGTTGTTATCATTCTTGAATATTATTCTTAGAATGCAGAGTGTGTAAACCTTGATAAAAAATTTGCATTTACCACTGTAGAGGTGCACAGTAAAGCTGATGGAAGGTTAATAGCTCAAGGCAGACACACTTTATTAGTTACTAGTACACATAATGACCAATTTAAAAATGAAGACGCAAAGTTGTAAAATCTATTGAATTGAGTAACGTCTCTGAACAATCTACAAATTTACGAGCTTGTGAGTATTTACTTCTGTGTATTTTTAAAATCTAACTTCGTCATACTATCCATATAATTCAAAAAAAAAGAACAAGTTATTATATAAAAAAATAAAATCAAATAATTCAAAAAAAAAAAGAACAAGTTATTATAATAATTTTTATTATTGTTTAAATTTTTATAAGTTTTTGTTAACTAATTTAGAGAAACCAATAGGCAGATGTTCAAAATCAGAAGTTGATCCTAATATTATAGAAAATATTATCAAACTAAATCCGATGCGATATTTTTTTCTTTTTGATTACCTACCAACTAAATATTGCAAGAATTCAAATTTTTTTTTGGTATTCTCGAACACTGTATATCTAAGCATCGTAATTTGTCCATTTATAGTATTAGCAGTTGAGACCTAAATTAACAACGTTTTCAACAAAAGAATCTAATTGGTTTGCTTTATGAATATTGGCCAATCAGAGTTGACATTGTAAAAAATCAGAATAATTAACTAAGCAAAAACTTTGAATCAAATATAATTTTTGAACAACCAATTCAAAAAAATCTAAAATGCAACTATTTATAATAAAATTTGATTATACGTACAGTACTTAATGCCGGTTTGAAATTTAAATCTACTAAATGAATTTTGAATTTATAGTTCAAATAGATACATTGGTTTTCAATTTCAGCCAGTTGCAGCTATTAGATAAATCAAATAAAGCTTTTGTTAGAGTAAGTTTAATAGACTTGTAATTTACATGCCAAACCTAACACATAATTCTCATGACTAAAGATTATTTGTAACATTATTTTGAGAAATAGGGTGAAACATCACAAATATATAACAAATAAAATCATAAAGTATATTAAGTTGTAAGTGAGTTTCGGAATTTTGTAGATCCAGAATTCACTTAAGTGGATTTCGGATCCAGAAACAACTTAAGATTTTTAAATAATCGAATATTAGTTATCATAATTATATGTATTTAAAATAATTGTACTGTATTTCGCAAAAGTTTTAAGTTTGATTTAAAATTCTTTTCAGCTATAAAAGCTAGGATCCAAATCATCATTATGGTTAATTCGTGATCCGCCAGGGAACTAGAGCATAGTAAATCGTGGAGATATGTTTACTATGTAAATTTTACCTTTTTTGGAATCTGGAGTTTTCCAAAGGGTAAATCGATTTTTTTACTAAACAAACTTCTCTCCAACTTCTAACAAAAGTTGTTGAGGGGTGAATTTTGAGCATAATGGTAGTTGAACGTTAAAATCGGCCATTTCGATCTTCGCGACTATATCTTTACTTCTTTGTTTACACAAAGAAGCCGCGAAGACAAAAATGCCCATATTTGACGATCCACCGAACCGATTTTAACGTATAAACTACCATTTTCCTTGAAATTCTCTCCTCTACAACATTTGTTAGAAGTTGTAGAGAGGGATGTTTAGTAAAAAAACGATTTACCCTTTGGGAAACTCCAGATTCTAAAAACCTAATGATCATTTGTTTTTTTAAGTGAACTTATTTAGTAATTAATACAATGTACTGTGTATTTTAGCCCAAGGATTAAGATTATAAATAGGAAATTATTATTCATACCTTTATTTTTATTATTCGTACTCTCATGCCGTAATTTTCGCTAATTATCACGTCGCATGGTGTCGGAGCTCCAAAATTCAAACACTGCTTTCGATTAGTAAGCATTCTTACTAATCAAAAGTGGAGTTTGAATTTTGGAGCCCCGACATCATACGATGCGATGATTAACTTTAGGGTACAAATAACAAAAATAATGGTATCAATCCCATATAAATATCATAATACAGTTAATTAAAAAAATAAAAATAAAAACTTGTGACAACTAATCATGACTAATTTAGTAATAATTTTCTATTTTAATCCCATAACAGTTAATGGTCCTAATTGATAAAATCAGCATAATTTTTTATTTTGGTTTAATTTTCTGTCTGTCACTTTAATAGATTTGATTGATCAATTTTAGGTTCTGTAATCTATTCGTTTGTTAATCTTTTCTTTAGGGTAGTCTATTTTGTTCACTTATTTTAAACACCTAAAAAAGAATGACCAATGTGTCGAATTATGATATTGTAATTTATATAGCTCAGTATTGTGTGGGCGACCAATATGAGGCGTAAAATACCTTATTCTAAAATTTGTACCATGCTGATCTGGTGTCATATATTACCATATTTGATTTAGAAATTTCGGTATAGTATATTATTATGATAGTTTTTTCAAAATGGGTATTTTATATACACCCTTTACTAGTGATGAGACCTCCTGAATTATTATTATTATTAATTTACATATTATATAATTACTGATCGATTATTAACTAACAACTACTTAGAAATATATGGCGCAACTAGTTAGTACAGGATGTATAAAAAATGAAAAGTTGCTCCAAATAATTGCTGAGATATTGGCAGATTAAACTTTTATTAAATCCGTTGGTAGTTTATTTAATTCATCATATCGAAGTATTAACTATTAATAATAACGCAATATTAATTTTTTTCATTATTAACTAGAAACTTAGGTCTCATCAAGAAATAAGCTTCGCCGAACCTATTCAATAGAATATTCTTTTAACCATCTATATTATTATAATGATCTTCTATAATCCCATTTTAAATTAACCCACATATTTTGGTTTAGAGATCAACATGGCTATCGGCTGGCTATTATCGGCTAGCCTATATATTAATAAGACAAAATAACTGTACATATTAGTATCATTAATACTTATTTCAACATGAAATCATATCAGAGAATCTGATAAATAGAGGAACCCATTATTCATAATTCTGGTCAAATTTGCAGATCATTTAACTGGAAAATTCCGACCGAATGATCTGCAAATTTGACCAGAATTAGATTGCTTCGACACGCATTTATGAAGTGCAGATCATTTGACCAGAATTAAAATTGGGTTGTTTTAAATCTGGCCAAACGATCTGCAAATTTGACCAGAATTATGAATAATGGGTTCTTCTATCAATCAGATCCGCCAATGTGCATTCTTGTCAATCTGTGTAATTATTATTTTATCAACCAGGACGTTAAAAAACCTGTCATCGGCTACAATTTTAACCAGTTGGCTAATATCGCTACGGCTAATAGCCGGCTCCCATTCTTAACATTGCAGATTTTAAAAATCTTATCGTAAAATATTACACAAGAAACAAGCTTTAGATACAAAATTTTTGATGAAGTTACTGTATGTGGTAATATGTTAATAGCATTTATATTATTACAATAAATAAAAAATTAAAATAAATTATAAAATTGTTATAATTGATTGATGAGCTATCATAAATGAGAGAAGAATGATACTTCGGCTTTTAATTCTATAATTTATTATATACTATATTTGGCCTTTAAACCCTGATATCGCTGATCAGATTTTTCACGAGCTGAATTTGATAAATAATAAATGATTAACTTGAAAGTCTGAAGTTTCATTTTTTTTTTGGTAGTGCTCAAATGATTTCTATACATTTACATTTAACTTATCTTTTATTTTTAACTCAGTTTGTTACTTTTTTTCATTCATTTTGTTTTTTATTTCCAATCAACTATCCTACCTTATCTCATACTAATATACATTATATATTATATCGTTCATTCATCATTTTATCTATCAACACCATATATCATCATTTTTAAATGAAGGATTCAAATTAATCTCTTGGATATTCTGCATCATTTATATACAAGCTATAATAATATTTGACATGTCATCAGTAAACATTCAGATTGTGAAATTAAAGAAGTTCTCAAGAACCTACCTAAATGGACTCAACAAAGGATCTGGTTGGTCTGGTTTATCAAGCTGGTCATTCAGATTTTTTATAGAATTCATTGAGGTATGTATTTGAGAACGTCCTAGATCACATAATTTAACCAAGTCTTTGCAGGTTGATTCTATCAAATCAGGTGACAGGACATAATTATGATATCTCATTATCCTAAAATATCATTAAAACCGATAACAAAATTTTCCGTTAAACCATTATCTGCAACTTCTGCAACTACATTAGACTATCGGTGTTCTCAAACATCAACCTAAATGCGAATCGACAACTATTATGATGTAAATTTTGGCTATTGTCATAACATTTTGGATATAAGTCAAATAATATGAATGACAATATTATTAAAATATGTTCAAACATTGCTATAAATTGTGGTTTTCTGATAATTGTGATGATGTTCAATTGCAGCGATAGATCAAAATAAATATCTCAATCACTGCTTGAGAAGATTCTAAAATAGCTTATCGAATATTTTACAAAAATATATACGTCGATAATGAAAATCCATAATAAAAGTATGACAACTATGGATGGCAACGGTCGGTTATTTTCGGTTAGCCGTTTTGTAGCCGTTATCTGTATCTCGTGGTACAGTGATCCAAATTGGATGATTTTAGTACCATCCGATTTGTCTCATTGAGATGAATCGAATGGTTCTAAAATCATCCAATTTGGATCACTGGATAACGAGATTCAGCTAACGGCTACAAAACGGCTAACCGAAAATAACCGACCGTTGCCCATCCTAATAACAACACTTTATTCACTTTTAATATAATAAAATTTTGGCAAAAAGTTTTTTGAATGAAATGGTAAATTCATTGTTCGTTTTTTTACTATTTAAAAATCTTTTTCGTAATAAACTACCTTATTTATATCAACTGATCAATTAAAATACTTTCCGTTAATTAAATTTAATTCTCGATATACTTTGATCCATTAATTGAAGCGCCTGAGAACGTCCTATAAATTATTATTAAATTCATGTCAAGAAATAAAATTGTAAGAAATTATTTGATCAGGGAAAAAAAGCATTGGTGAAAAATTCTATCGGCGAATGGCTATCAGTATTATTAGAAAGTGGATATCAGGAAATATTTTAATGCAGAATATGCATATTACGGTCTTTTGAAAATTTTTGGATATGTAGCAAATAGATAATATTGCCGAGTACTAAAATATATTGTTTGCAAAATAACATAAAAACTTCCTTTGTACAAATATTGGGTAGTTTCAAGAAGAGTGAACCCAGTGATATCTTCGTGATAATCACATTACAGGATTAAACACTCGGCCTAAGTTAGGGTTAGTGTTAGAGTTAGGTGATAGTATTTTTTAGGCCAAACTCGTTAGTGCTAGTAAACAAATGACGTCATTCCATGATTTCACATAATGTGATTATCACTGGGTTCATTCTTCTTTAAGTGTCCCATATATTACAGTATTATATCAATTTTTATTATGCCGAAAAATTTTTCGGCAAGTTTTTTTATAGGTGTCCCAGGAATAATGAAAATAGCTGTAAATTAAACCCGAACCCGAAACATCTAATCGGGTTTGGGCCCGGACCCGGCCCGGGCCCGTGATTAAATTTAATGGTTTTTGGAGTTTATAGGCTTTTTTATAAAGCCCAACCCGACCCGGTCTGGTTTATTTATGGGGTTATAAATGTGGGCCCGACCCGAATTTTTGCAGTGCGGGTCGGGCCGGGCCCGGGTAGCCCGACCCGATTCCGGACCCTACATAAAGTAAGTAAATTTCATTATGATCTGATTTCATTATGATCTGCCACAATTATTATGATTTCTACCGTAAAAATTAACCTTACTATTCTAACGATACACAGCATGCGACTCACTAACGCATGTTATTAAGTTTATCTCTATAATCTAACATCCACAAAATACGCATAACGGACGAAAATCGATTTTTAAAAATCATAGATGACAATTGAGTGTAACTGGCATTTCAATTTTCACCTTTCTATTTCACGCTAATTCATCGATAACCGATGATCATAATCCTTATCTAGATTTTATGAGTTTATGCACGTATATGCAAGATTGTCCAATCAGATAGTTTAAAAGGGACATTTGCATACGGGCATCATTTTATAAAAAAAAAAAAAATTCTTTCAGTAAATTTACTCTCCGGACATTTAACAGTGACTGTTTCTAGTAAATTATTTACAAACTTTCCTTTAGATTATGGCATCAACAAAAAATATTAATAGAACGACTTTGGCCCGCAAAATGCTTCAACTATATTTCGAGGGGGATGCATCTTTTGAGAATTTTGTTGCGAAAGATGTTTAGTATTTTTTTGAACCAATACGATATATAATGTTAAATTAATATCTAATGAATGCATGCTTACCTTTTTTTATTTTTATTTTTTTAAAAAAATTTATAGTTAATAATAACGAATGCGACTGATGGTAAAATTAGTTTCGAAATGCCTATTCAAGAATGAATATCATCTGGTATATATGAAGCTTTTATTCTAAACCCTAAAGTTCAAATTAATTGAATAAATTCGATTAATAATGAATAAATACAATAGAATCATTACAAATCAATTCACAGAGGAATGTTAGCATCATTGGTCGATGCTTGTGGATCGCTAGCTATATCAACTAAAGGAGCGCAGCTTAGTCGTCTTAGTACGGATTTAAATATTTCATATATCGCATCAGCGGGATGTGGTGATACTTTACTTGTGGTAAAATTTTATTTTTTCTTTTTGAAAAAATTTTTCACGTAATTAATTAATAATTATTATTTGTCGTTAAATATTATTCTTAGAATGCAGAATGTGTAAACCTTGGTAAAGCATTCGCATTTGCCACTGTAGAGGTGCATAATAAAGCTGATGGAAGGTTAATAGCTCAAGGTAGTCACACTATGTTAATGGTTAATTTTCATTATGATGCTGAAAATGATGAAATCGCAAAGTTGTAAGAAAACATTTCAATAGAGCAATCAAAATCTAAAAAAAAGCGAGTTATTGTAAAAAAAAATTCTAAAATCTTAATAATTATTATTTAGAGAAGCCAATAGGCAGGTCTTCATATTTGAAGTTGAACCTAATATTATGGAATATATCTTTAAAATAGATCTTACGCAATGTCAATTTTTCGTTTTAATTACCGCCAACTAAATTTTGCAAGAGCTCAATTTTTTTTTGGAATTTCTGTTTGAACACAATATATAAGTATATATTCAAAAAAAAAAAAGCCACTGTTATCTCTATAAGCTATTACAATAATAAATAAATTTAAAATTTGGCATTTAATATTCATACTGGTTATTAAATTTAAAAATACGTGATTTGCCCATTTACAGTATTAGTAGTTGAGGCTTAAACTAACAATTTCTCAACCGAAGAAACTAATTGTCTGTTTGATCAAATTGGATAATCAGAGTCAACATTATAAAAATCGGATTGGCCGACTAAATATAAATATTGAACAAATATGATTTTTTAATCAATTAATTAATTAAAGAATCTAAATGCAACTATTTATACTTAAAGTTGGTTTGAAATTTAAACCTATTTAAGTGAATTCTGGATTTATACCTGTCACCAATTCCAAACTATTATATATTTGGATTTTTCACGCTCAAATTCCAAGCTCTTTCTAAACTGATATCTCAAAAATACTTTATTATTGATGTTTATTAAACGAATGGTATTATTATTTTTGATTAATTTTTTATAAATGGAGATTATTCTTTTGAAGGTTTAGGATCTGTCCGGATTTGCCGTTAAGTATAAGCAAGAAAGAGTTTAAATGAATATATATATATTAAAAATTTCGAACCATCGTATTCATTTGAAGTATCATAAATATCAAATCCACATTATCTTTTAGGAGTTTCAACCACATCCAAATCTTGAGCAGAAATTTTAGATATATCATTATCATCTTTAAATGAAAGATTCAACCAATCTCTTGGATATACAATATCTTTTGTTGCATCTTTATACCATTTCTGAAAAGTTCTATCGCCATTATGTTCTCCAAATATTAAACCCAATCCAACTACAATTTAAAAATGCCATTATAATAATTGACACATCATAATTTGAACAAGTCTTTACAGGCTGATTCTGTCAAATCAGGTGAATATTTATTCTGTTTATGTAGTTTAATAAAACTTGAGTTGGCATTCTCCTATATACTCTAAGGCGATTCATTATACCGTTTTTTAAAAAAATTAAGAAAAAAATCAATACACAATAAATACAAGTTACTCTCACTCTCGATATAAGTATAGTAGAACAGTTTATATAAAAACCCTCTCGATATAGTGAATTTACTAATAGACTCTCGATATAGTAAAGAAAATTTCACAGCCAGATCACTTTTTTTTTTTTTTAAACCCCCTCTAGGGGGACGCCGGACGGCGTACTTTATTTAGTTCAGATATATGTATTATATTACATTATAGTGTTATATACATTATTTACATGTTCATTATTAAGGGGTTATATATGTAGGTCATTTTTAACTTCGTTTGTGGTGTTTCATGATTTTAAACTCTTTCTCGATTCTATTTTTAACAATTATGGGAAGTATGGGTTCCGGGATAGGTTTTCCTCCCCATCTAGCCTGTGTATAGCAACACCAGATCTCATATATTGCATTAATATGCAGCCATCTTGTTAACTTCTTTTTTGTTTTGTCACGAACATTTGATGCTGTGGCAATTTCTTCAAGAGTTGTTGGGAGATTCTCCCTTGGGCTTATATATGAGTATACAAGTTTCCATATTATTTTGCTAATTTTGCAGGTTATTCCAAAATGTTCGTGTGTTTGGATTTCCCCAGGGCACATCGGGCATTCACCACTGTCATTATGTGCTATGTACTTTAATCTATATCCCAATGGCAAAGATTTACGGCAGTAACGCCAAAAAACATCTTTTCTTTTGTTATTTATCCATTTTATGTTGGACCATTTCCACATATCATTGCTTGCACTATTATAATTTTCTAATTTTTGTGTGGCTGTTAACAGTGATTTTTTTTTCAAAAATGAAATTGCCTTGTGTACTGTGTATTCATTACCGGGTATGTTAGCGATACTAGGGATGGGTACGGTCACGGTCATAACCGTTGTGACCGGTCATTGACCGTAACCGTTGTTGACCGGTCAGAGCGGTTTAACTGACCGGTCAAATAATGAC